ACTAACCGAAAAAAAAAGCTGATATAGCTATACTAATATTAGGGGGGAAATTTTCAAATTTTTTTTAAATAAAATTGATCAATTCATAAAGATGAAAAGATAATGTTACCAACAAGAGATACAATTAGAAATTTGTATGCTCCCATTATGAGACTTCAAAATAGTAAAATAGCTTATTTTTTAAAAAGAAGGGCAAAAATGGATAAAACTACAAGGAGAAATAGAAAAATCCACAATCAGTGGGAGGTATTAAAACAACTCTCTATCAAATTAATAGAACAAGAAGAAAACTAAGTCAAGATACAAAAGATCTGAATAATAAATTAACCAATTTGACATCACAGACCTATATAGAATACTGTATTCAACAATTGCCAGTTGTGGGACTTTCCTGGTGGTCCAGAGGGTAAGACTCTGCATTCCCAATGCAAGGGGCCCGGGTTCCATCCCTGGTCAGGGAACTAGATCCCACACGCATGCCGCAACTAAGAAGTCTGAGTGCCACAACTAAGAAGCCTGCATGTCACAACTAAGAAGCCTGCCTGCCGCAACTAAGAGCCTGCATGCCGCAACAAAGATCCCACGTGCCGCAACCTAAATAAATAAATAAAAAACAATTGCCAGTTGCATATTCTTTCAAGCACATGTGCAATAAAAACAAAAAAAAAACTGACCACATTATGGGCCATGAAGCCAGCCTCAACCAATTTCAAAGAGTTGAAATAGTCCCCAAAATGTTTTCTGACCACAGTAAAATAAGCTAGAAATCTATAACAATCCATAACCAGAATACCCCCTAATGTTTGGAAATTAAGCAACATGCTTAATAACCTTTAGGTAAAAGAGGAAGTCACAATGGAAGCTAGAAACTAGTTGGAATGAAATGACAAAAAAATGTATGAAATATCAAAATTTGTGGGGTGCAGCTACAGCTGTATAGATGGAAATTTATAGCCATAAATGCATAGAGTTTTAAAAAAGAAAGGTGGAAAATCAGTGATGTAAGTGTTCACCTAAAGAAACTAGAAGAATCTTATTTGAACCAAGGCATTTGCTGCTTCGGTGCCCCGTGGGGCACTCACACACTGTCTTTGCATAACTTTTATGTGTATTTGAGGTTAGTCCCTGAGGGAGCCCCCAAAGATGAGGCAACAACAGTGCGGGGTCATGAGGCTTGGGGGGAACTGGCTACACGGCCTCTACATGGGAGTGTGCTGTGTTCCCCTGGGCTAAGAATTCACAGTGGAGTATAAACCCCTGGGTATGACCATGGCATGGCTGCTCTGTGCATGCAAATCAGGGACTCACACGGTGCCCAGAGGAGGGAGTGGTGGCCAAATCCTCAGTAATGACATCATTTGGCTCCTCCTAACCATTTATCAACATTCTTCAGGAAGCATAGATTGGGCCTTCCTTACCACTTCCTCTACAACCTAGGACCTGTTTTCTAAAATAACCTTGCTGGGTTATCCAGTTATGAGTTACCTTTGCCAATATTTAGTCTCAGCCAGTTTCTGCTCACCCAAGGCTCTTACTCTCCACTGCTAACACACACATTCACACATACCCATTCCGAATTCCTCTTCCCCGTTATAACTAACTAACTGTACTATAAAAATAGAGTCAAGGGGCTTCCCTAGTGGCGCAGTGGTTAAGAGTCCACCTGCCAATGCAGGGGACATGGGTTCGAGCCCTGATTCGGGAAGATCCCACACGCTGTGGGGCAACTAAGCCCGTGCGCCACAACTGCTGAGCCTGTGCTCTAGAGCCTGAGAGCCACAACTACTGAGCCCACGTGCCACAACTACTGAGCCCGTGCACCTATAGCCTGTGCTCCGCCACAAGAGAAGCCACTGCAATGAGAAGCCCGCGCACCGCAACAAAGAGTAGCCCCCACTCGCCGCAACTAGAGAAAGCCCTCGTGCAACAACGAAGACGGAACTCTGCCAAAGATAAATAAATAAATATATTTTTTAAAAGGAGTCAAAACAAATTATAGCAAAGAAGAAGGAGAAATACTGTGTATTCCTAAGCCACGTATAACCCCTGTACAAACTAATAAGATTTCTGATTGTTCCCTCTCCCCAGCACTGTGTACACATCGCCTGATTCCTACTTGGTCAGGGTAGCAGAAGAAATCACCTCTTCTGCCCTTCAACCTCCCTCCTCCCCAATACCTGCTAATATCAAAGAGGGCCAGAGAGCATGCACCTGTCTTTAAAAGTAGAATACTTATTGTAAGTAGGGTTACCAAATGTAGCAAATAAAATTACAAGATTCTCGGTTAAATGTGAGTTTCAGAGAAACAAAAAATAACTTTTAGTATAAGTGTGTCCCATTTTCGTACTCAAAAGTTATTCGCTGTTTTTCTGAATTTAAAATTTACCTCAACATCTAGTATTTTTTTTTCTGGAAACCCTAATTATAGGAGAGAAGGGATTGCAATCAGAACTAAGGTTGACTTGGGAGCCTTTGGCTAAGTCGTCTTGCCTGGAGAACTGACTCCACGGGGAGCTGGGAGAGAGGTCGGTCCTTCTGGGCACCTCTCACCCCTCATGGGATCTTGACTTGTGCAGCCTTGGCTCACTGCCTACTGGTGTCCCTCCACATCTCTTGGCTTTGTGAGGGAAGCATATCCTTCTGTCTGCCCAAGTTTAGGCTGGGAATGGGGGACAAGTGTAGTCAAGGTAACAAACAAACACAGGCATGATGTGCAAAAACACAGACATTTTGACTTTAATAAGTTATAAAACCAAGGAGCCAAATTTTACTATACAGAAAAACAAATGTACTGATTGCTGTCATCAGTAAGATAAAATGTTGTGATGTGAGTTCAGCACCAAGATGACCCATGTGGCAGCTGCCTGTCAGACAGGAGTACATAGTCGTAATGCTTCATCTGATAAAGACTTTGCTATTGAGCACCATTTATAATATACTCCAGACAAACAAACAACTTTAAAGTACACATGAAAGGCTTATACGTGGAATTCCATGGGTTTTCCAAAAGGAGTAGATCAGAGAGCCAGGTCCCAAAACTCCAGCACTAGTCTTCCCACGAACATGAAGTGACTCTCGTGCCCCTCAGCTGACATTGCAGAGCAGCGGACAATGAGGACCTCTGAGTCTCAACCTGGTATTGGGAAACCTTGGCTCAAAGACATCCTCTGCCTTCCCCAGGCTGCAGAAGCCTCTCAGCCAGCTCTGGAAGCTCCGGACTGTTGCTAAGCCAGCTCTCCACCTGGTTCAAGCTCAGTGGAAATTTGCAGGGTCTCCGTGTGGGTGAACACTGCCTTCATACACAGAGAGACTTCTGAGGACCATCTAGTCTAGAGAACTTTATGGATATATGGCCCAAGGCACTGAGTATGGCATACGGGGCCGTGGCCACCTGGCCTACAGTTCCCAGAGGGCATCTTTCTTCCTGCAGCAGAAGAGAGATCCCCCTGGGTGTGTCCCACATGGGGCCCCTCCCCGAAGTCTTCCAGCCCCCAAGACACACAGCCCTGCTCTGCTGTGATCTGAGAAGGGAGTGTTCCCATTCTGTGGCCCCCAAGCTGGGTAAACTGAGTAATACTCTGGCTAGGGTTAATCTGGAGCTTCCTTGACATTCTAGGATGGACCCAAGCAAGCACTGCCCAGTCCTTCAGCCCGTGAGTAGCACCAGCCGCCATGGGTTCAACCAATGAGGGAAAGACGTGGATACATTTCCTAATGATAAAGAGATGAGGGTGCAGAAGTGCTTCACACTACATCTTGTTAAAGAAGTGATACTATGAGAGAATTCAGAAAGGTTTCTCCAGTTTGGTCCTTAGGAGCCAGCAAGCTCCTTGGAGACACTGGGACATGTAGGAGCAAGCGTGGAACATGGTGGCAGAGGGGAGAGAGGTAGGCTACACTGGGGACATGGGGAGGCTAGTTTTCAACCGTTTGGAAGGTTAAGCATCACCCCAGATGTCCCTTCACTGTTTCTTACCCCCTTACTCTGCCCCTTGGACCACATGCAGAGGTTCACACGCACACACATGCACAGGTTCCGATAAAGGTTTTTAGCACCTATCCTGAGCCTCAGTATTCTCATCCACAGAATGGGGAATGAAATAAGAAAGAGTTCTCTAAGATCTATGACTGGTGAGAATACAAAGGCTTTAGAACTTTCCTGGACATGAAAAGCTTAAGAATTACATGGCAGGCTAGGCCCAGCTAAGGAGCTAATGTGCTTGGGTCTTGTAATTTTGGGAAGTTTAAGCTGCATGTTCACACACACACACAAAAGTGAGCCTTGCCCACTCACTGGACTTTCCAGCAGAGTGCATGCCTCCCTCATCCTTCCAGTGCACTTGGGGAAGGGGAGAGCCTCTCTGGGGAGCCCCTGGTCTGAGGCCAGCCTGGCCAGAGGCGACAAGCAAGGCCAGGGTTAGTGAAGAAAAGAGAGGCCTGGGAGAGCCTGCGAGTGCCAGCTGACCACCACACTCATCTTCATCACCTGCCTCACCACCTCGAAGACTGGAGTTCACGGCCTCTAGTTCACCGCACTCATCTTAGTGACTGGTCACCTAGTAAATAAATCATCGTCTCTCCCAAGAGTCCCATGGGGCTTGTGTCTCGGTCTGCAGATTGGCAGGAAATGTCCTGCGTCTCCAGCAGGATCGGCACCACAAGGAAAAGAAGATTCCCAATCACTTGCTCAGAAACTTGGGGCAAACGTTTTCTCTCTCCGAGTTATCCCTCCTGCCTTCCCTCATCAATGGGGGTTGTAGAACCTCTATATTCCTCTCCACCCCACACTCCACCTCAGTACAGGACACATATATATATATATATATATATATATATATATATATATATATATTTTTTTACATTATTCTCCCTCTTTGTTTTCCCCAAACCTTTTGGAATCAGGAATCTGACTTCATCTCCACAACACAGGAGTTGCCATCCCATGGAATATCTCTATAAGCAAGAAAAAAAAATGCTATTGATGCTATCTTTCCATTTTATTAGAACTTTCCGAGCATCTCTTTCTTCCTCATCTCATCAATGAGCTCTTGGATTCTTTGGTTCCTGGTCTTTTCGTATGGGCTCGGTCGTCGAGGGATTAGGTTGAGTGGCTGGACTTCATCCTCCAGGCCCTGGATTTTGTAGGGAACATCCACAGCGTTGGTTTCCGGATGGTCCTCGGTGGCACTGGTGCTGGAAGTATTGAGAGGCACCTCCAGGGGTGTGCCTGGCGGAGGCTGCACCTCCGTGACTAGAGTGGGCACTGGGAGGGTGGGCATGAGCTCTTCAATGTCATTGTGCTTCCCAGAGGGTGGTTCTGCCCTGTCGTCCACATTGGTGAGGTTGTCTTGCAGGTTACAGGATTTGCAGCACAGCTTATTATAGCCTGGGATGGAGCAATAGCGAGACAAGACTTCCATCCTACAGAACATTGACTTGTCACCTTGGCAGCGGCCCTCTGAAAGAGAAAAGTGGGACAAATAACCAAAGGACAGATAAGGGGGACCTTGTTCCCCCACAGGAAGCGGTTTTCTGGAGGAGGCATTTGAAAGAGCCCAGAGACAGCACAGAGGCAAGCGAGCTCACACAGAAAGCCTGTGTGGTTTTGATATCGGGCAGCCCTTGGGCAGGGTGGATCCGGGGACGCCACCCTTGAGTGCTGCCACACAAGCTGTGAGCAATGCTCCCCTCCTCCAAGCAGGCCCTGAATGAGTGCAAATTTTTCAGTATCTCTCAAAGTCTGAGACAGAAATGAGGCCTGTCTATTCTCAGGGAGTGATTCCAAGCTCATCTTAAAGAATGGGGCTTTGTCAGATCTTCACATCTGATATCCCAGTGGTAACCCCAATGACATTCTTTGGCACAGTTTGACTCTACAGTAATCTTTAAGCAGTAACTATAACAAAATTAAACCTAAAACAGCCAATTCCTAACACCCAAAAGAGCGCATGCCAGAGCCTTGGCTGTGGCCTCACCATACTCCTCCACATTTTTTCCCATCCTCACCCAAACTCTCCAGATGATCTTTGTTTCTGAAAAGGGACTAAATAGAAATTGAAAATCATGCAGACTTATCTGGGATTTCTTCCACTTGCCTCAACTTACTTGAGAGCCTTATGTCCTGCCACTGCTCCATCCACCACATGGCCCTGCCACATTGAGCTTCTGGCCATTTTCCAAAGTGCTCCAGAACTTGATGCCTTCACATAGACTAATTCTTCTGCCCAGGACATCCTCCCCTTTCTTTCCCACCCGAGATCTGGTCATCCACGGTCTGTCTTGTATGGAGAGCCCTGACTCTCTGCAGAGGCCATAGTTGTCTCTCTCTTTC